CGCTCTCAAATCATTTTGAAATTATTGCAATCCATGAAACAGGTCTAGAATGCGTATGATTGAGAAACATGACCCATCATATCCAAGTATCATGCGGATTAATTTCAACAAAAGATGGTCCAATAATTTTGTATGAAGACAATACTGCTTGTATTGCACAACTCAAATGATGTTATATCAAATGTGACATGACGAAGCATATTTCTCCACAATTCTTTCATACATATGAGTTTCAGAAGAATGACGATATCAATGTTCAACAAATTTGTTCAAGTGACAATGTAATTGATTTATTTACAAAAACACTATCAACATCTACATTCAAGAAATTGGTTCACACGATTGGAATCGTCGACTCAAATATTTTCAGTGATCAACATTAGGGGGAGTAGATGTACTCTTTTTCTTAGCTTAGGTTTTATCCTACTAGATTTTCCTAGCAATGTTTTAATAATATAGCATTTATTTTTAGTACTCCAAAATAATTGTGTTTTTTTTTTTTCCTTCATTTGATTTTTTGTCACATTGAGCTTTTATCAAATAAGGTTTTAACGATGCAATTATTGTACAAATAATCATCAAATGGGAGTTGTAAAATAATAAGATAATTATAGATGATTATTTAATATTATCATGATTCATAGATAAGTCTTATCTAGTGTAGAAAGTTTATTTCATTCCAATTGTAACTCTCATTTTAAATCTTATAAGAAAATATACACTTGAGTTTTAACTCTTATATTATTTTTATTTCATAACATTTATTTATTTCAAATTCATTATATGAAACTCGCAATTTTTATCAATTATACATTTCGTTAACTTTTACTAAAATTTATGAAAAAATTAATTTTTATCTAAATCATACAGATCTATATTTGTTTTTATAAAGAGAATTTACTTTTAAACACCACTGTTGACATTTTTTTTTTTCCTTTTTGGGGATACACTATTAACAAGTTTTAATACTTGGAGGGTTTAACTAGACTGATTCGAGCGGTCGAAAGACATGTTTGATGCTTTCCAAGTACGAAACAAAACTAATTTATTAAACTGAAAATTGACTAATTCTATTTAATTCTCAAGTTTAACACTGAACACAAGAATCGTATATATAAATTTTAATGTTTTAGTCTTAGAAAATATAAATTTTTTATTGTGATAGAGAGATTAAAATGCAGGATCATGCTCCTGTGAATTATGCTATTTGTACCCTTTGATTTACCCGACTTCACCTCCTCCCTCACATGGGGGTCGGGTCCCACATCCAATAAATGATTGGGATCCGACCCCCATGTGAGGGAGGGGGTGGGACCGAGTAAACCAACATGTACCCCAAATGGTACATGTAGCAAGATTGTACTCCTAATCCCCCACTACTTAGTCTTAATGACTAATTGAACAGAATTCGCACGGAAAAATTCAAGTTGTTCAAAAAGAAGACCGGTTCATTTTTTATATAGTTTCATTCGATTCTTTACACACAAAATTAAACAGCATTTTCTCACCTCAAATTTTAAC